GCCATGCAAACCCAATACAGCCTTAAAATTAAGATGTCTTGTTCAGGAGCACAGAGGAAATACAAAACTGGTATAAAGAAAGTGTTAAGAAAGTATGAACTCATCCAAAAGTTCATTCAGAAATTATAATGTAAAAGAAGTGTCTTTTCTTCAGTTTAACGTTTATCCTTGTGTTTTGTTTAGATGCTGCCATTGTTATATCTTTTTGCGGTATCTCCTTTTCAACGGTTGATTATCAGATATCATTACGAAAATCTCTGCCTGATAAAGATGAATTTCGTGTGCTTCCCAAGTTAGTGTATCTCTTCTATAAACTGCTTACCATCACTTCTTGGCTACTCAGTGTTTCACTGATCACTTTACTAAGTGTTAGAAGTTCTGTAATTCTGCTGATATTTCTTTGGATCTGTGGCTTCACCTGGACTTTGAAACAACATACGACATTCTGCAAATCTAAGAAGATGGAATATCTGTACAGAACTGTTGTTGGAATCATTCTAATTTTTACCTTTTTTAACATAAAAGGGAGAAAAACTAAAGTTTGCATTTCTATTTATTATGCTACTCACACTGTTGTAACTCTAGGTATCTTGATTGTCTATATGTTTTGGAAACCTACCATTATCAAGGAAATACATTTTACAATTGTGAGCATCCTAACTACTCTTAGTCTGGTGTTAGGTATTATTTTTCTTGTTGTTTATTATAGGCATTTTCATCCCACTGCTTATTGCAGACCACAGGCATGTTCAGATGAAATTGATGGAGAGGCAGGACAAAAAGTTGCAGTGAAAACTGGTAGATTTCAAAATTTCATAATGCAATGAACAGTATAGTTTTTCCATGCAGACTTCAAAGCAAATACTTGCTGAACAGTCTGTTTTTCTGTCATTGTTTCTTGTGTATCATCACTGAATGGTGCATAATGGAACAGAGTTATTGGCTCTGAATAGCTATTGTTTTCTGTGATGCTGTACAAAGCTTTTTTAACATGAATATTTATGTACTGGTCAAAGTTATTTTTGAAAAAAAAAACAATTTAATCTATCCATCCAACACAATCCACTGTTTTAGTTTTTAGCAATGCAAATAAAACATTGGAAAAGCTAAAAGTTAATTAAATGAAAGCTAGCATCAAAAACATTCTATTAATTTATGTTGATGTGTTAAAAACAAGGCTTGCTTTTCTTTTCTTGCTGGAAGGAGAGAGGAGTGCATTTGAAATAACTGAGGGCAGTGATCACTTATCTGCTTCTCCCCATTAGGGTAAGAGCTGCAGTTGTTCTTTAGATGAGCATAGCTACAAATCCTACTGCCTTCTCCCTAAATATCCCCTGAAGAGGAATAGTTTTGATTTACGGCTCAATCACTGTCTTGCTACAAGGAAATTTGGGGAGATATTTTAAAGCATTTTATCTTCTAGGTGTTTTAATGACTCCTTTGTTGGTTTTGTTCTGCTAATCTTTCACACAACCTTCCGTATTTAGGGGTGATGCCAGCTTGTTGTTCTGGAATTGTAATAGCAGCCTGAGTGATTTATGGATGGCAACAGGAGTCTTACATATAAAAGAAGAACTATATTCCTTGAAAATTTCCTCTCTGAGCTCTAAGATATGATACTTTAAATGCTGGTTTCCACTGAAATAGGAGGCTATGCAAGGTATGCAGTGGTGCAGCTTCTTTTGTCTTCATCGCTGGAGAAAAGAGAAGCAACCGATTTGATGCATTGCACTCACAGGGGCTGGGAAATAATGGAAAAAGCAGCTTGTCCATCAATATATTTTTGCAGAAGGCAGAGTGAAATTAGACAACATTTAAGTCCTGTGTTCAAATGCTAAAAAAATCAACAACAAAGGAAATAGTCGATAGCCACAGCTTCTTCAGAAATAAAATCTAAGGGGAAGTCTTTCAGAGCTGCTATGTTTTAAGTTTGAAAGATGAAATCTGGGGCACTCTCTCTCCCCTCCTTTCCCCTTCCAATAATTCACATTTGGAGTTAGAGTAGCCACAGGCAAAGGGAGGAAACAGGGTTTGAGAAAAGAGACTAGAGATAAGAAAAACTGATAAACTTTGCCAGGAAACAGATCTGTTAGCATTATTGATTGACAGCAAACATCCCTGAAACTTTGTGGGAAGGGCTGATGCTTTGATTGATAATTAGGGTGTTGAAGAGCTGTGTCTTGCACCTTTTGTGTCAAGTCTATGGACTGCAGACTGCCTTTTTTGTGTTACCCTTCCAGCCTTAGCAGAGCTCAGGGAAGTTTCTAAATGTGTTTCTTTCCTGTTCCATTTCCATAGTTCTCTTTGCCAGGCCTACCACTTACATCTCCTTAATCCTATTCAAGGAAATAAATTTCTAGGTGCATAGCGTGGACTGAACCGTCTGCCTTTCTGAGGATACACATGATAAAGCGGTGTAGTAAGAAGAGTTTACTTCTAAAATCCCTCATTTCCACTTAAGGGTAACTCGAATGTAGGTCCAGAAGTTAAGACATAAAAAAGGCCAATCCATGAGACTTAAGCAATAGTTTTCCTAAAATAAATATATAAAACAGTATCTTCACTTCTCTCTACTCTGGGAAAGAGATTTGTTTGCCCTGGAACGGCTGCTTAGGTAAGAGAAAAAGCCTAAGGCTCCATCCATCCTTCATGCACCATGATTGCCCTGTGATCTCCTTTATCTACAGAGCATTTATTACTGGTGATGGTGCCCCTGGCAGCAAAATGCTTGCCTGGCTTCAGGCTGAATGTGCTCTTATTTTGCTATGAAAAAATAGGATCCTAAATAGCGAAGGCTATCCCTGTATTGCTTCACATGCTTTTATTGCTTGCTCATTTGAAATCCTAAGAAGGGGCTAGGGTAAGGCAGGGTGGCAAAGGGAGAATGTTATCTCTATCGTGCAGAAAATTACAAAATTTTGCCTAACCATTATTTGGAAGAAGACCTCAAATTCTGTACGTTATTTGAGAAGCAGATCTCTGGGGAAATATGAGCTTCTGAGAAGTCCTAGTGTGGGAGCTCCAGCCCTGGGGCCTCCAGGTTGTCTGCTGGCTGCCAGATGCCAGAAATCTGGAGCCTGAGTTGCTCTGGAGGAAGGTTAGTTTCTGGTGAAACAAAAAAAAATTGTCTTGGTGATTTTTTTTCCTTTCAGTGAACTGACAAATTCCAAATAAAAATATTTCATTGCCAACTCTCTGGCCAACTCCTAATACTCATTTTATTTCATGGAGGAAAAGCTGAATATTGTGCTGCCTTCTGTTGTTCTCCTGATGTCTCCTCATTCCCTCTTCTGTGCCACTGAATTTGAGCTGGTAAGAAAGGCACCCAGATGGCTATTTATATCACACTAATACAGATACACACCAAACACAATTATTTGTGTTTCAATCCCTATTTTATGCTTGTACATCCTAGTGGATATAAATTTAGCTGTATCCTAAAACTGGGAAATGATCCTTTGGGAAATCATGCAGATTCTTTTCATAAAGCTTAAACAGATCTTCAGTATCCTTCCACAGAGCCTGTAAATGTCTCCATTTGCTGTCATCAGTCAGACGGCCTCAAGAGATAGGAGTTCCTGTTAGCTTTTCCCCCTGTAGACTTGTATTTATTTAGTTTCAACTTTAACATCATCCTTCTCTTCTTGACCTTGAGTTCAAGATTTTCACTTGATTCCCTTCATTTTCATAGTTATGAAAATGGCTCCTAATTAATTTGGTCATTCTAACTCAGAATCATTGTAGCAGGGAGGACAAGGAAGCACGTGAATTGATTCTAGACACACTTCATATCATCAGTGACCATTTCAGACAAAACAAGCAAAGTCCCACTTCATCTAGGTGTAATGTTCAAACAATAGACTCCATACATATCCTTTCTGTTCCCCAACTATGCTTAAAGTTCAGCTGCCACTCAGTTCATGCATCGTGCCTGACCTTGTCATTTTAATCTAACTGCAAATTGAAAACAAATGTTTTTTTTCTTTTTTGTTAAGTATGTCCATTACATCTTACAAGAAGTATTTTAATAAGTTAAATAAAAATAATAAACAATTTCTTCCTGTTTTGACTACTGTCAGACCTGGGTAAGAGGGACAACATTCAACAGAATTGTTTTAATTATCCTACTAATATTCAACGTGCCATTTGATGGCATTGGTGAGCTCACCTGATGTACCACAGATAGCACTGATTTATGAAGCCATAATTTGGTTTCCAATAAACATTTGTCAAAATAATGTATTCATTCAAACCAAAGCCTTCTTTATTTATTCATATAAAAGAGCACTTAACTTTCAACAAAGAATTGCCTGCCATCAAAAACACTCCATAAACAGGGGAAATTTATGAAGACACAGTGCCAGAGGGTGATCGGTGGAAGACTAAAGTTCATTTTAACCCTTCAAAGTACTGAGTTCCACCTCGTGCTTGTTACTGGTACTATACATATTTCTTTCTAAAGCCCCAAGCCCAAACATTAACGTTTGTATATTTAGACATTAAAGTACCTGTTCTTTTTTCTACCATAAAGTCTTACATCTCAAAGATGGTTTCAAAACTAAGATCTCTCATTTTTATTATGCAGTATAGAAGCATGCACACAGCTCAATGGTAGCTAGTTTTAGGCTTACCTACATTCTGCCCACAATTTTTACCATGTATATATTCTTCCAAAAAAAAAAAAAAAGCTTCAGGAGGTTAAAGCGACTTATCTTGTCTGAACCTGAGGCAATACATGTACTTGCCATTCATTCCAGCGGAAGAATTTTCCAGTTTTACCTCTTGGTGCTCTTCTCTACTTCCCAGCATTTTAGTTTCATTTTACAGATTTTTAATAGAAGACTAGCAAAGTAGATGGGCTGTACAATCAACATTTGAATGAAGTGCAGAGGATCTCCTGGAATCCATCTTCACCAGAAACTTTTCTTCTTTTACTTCTGGTTAGCTAATATATAACAAATACAAGTCACAGTGAAGTCCCACATTCATTAACTTAGTGAAATGTAGGCCTTGGTGGGATAGGGAGTTATGCTTCAACCTTACCTTAGCCTGCTAACACCTGTTGAAACTACAAACTGCACTGGCCTTCCTATGATTGTATGTTGGTTTCCATATATGCTTCTACTTTTAGCATACATTTTAGCATGGTGGTGGAGTCGCCATCTCTGGAAGTGTTCAAAAAATGTGTGGATGTGGCGCTTCAAGACATGGTTTAGGGAACATGGTGGTGCTGGATTAATGGTTGGACTTGATGATCTTGAAGGTCCTTTCCAACCTCAGTGATTCTGTGATTCTGTGATTCTGTGATACTGTTTTTATTTCTGACAGTGAACACAGCTGTAAATACTAGAGCAGAATGAGAAAGGATAAGAAAGATTTTAAGTGCACATCCATGCTTCAGAAACTCTAGCTTAAATGATTTTGCTAATCTCAATACAAAATCTTCATCATTATTACCATTATTGTTACCACCACTGGCACTTTGTCCAGGTGTCTATGACAGTACTTAGAAGAATATATATATATATGTTGCAGCCAGAGTGCAGCAAACAGTTGGTAGTAAAGTTCTGTCATGCTTTGTCTGCTCAGCACTCATAAATGATATTAAGTCTCTCTGATTAAGCACAAGTATTTTTCAATGTGAGTCTACAAACCTCTTGGAAAAAGAGACGGTTACTCATTTGGTTCTGTGGGGAGTAGGTCAACTGCTGAAAATCAAGGGCTAAATGTCCCTGGACAGTTCCTGGCTGCTGTGAGAAAGTAAATGACAAAGCTACATGTTTGAAGGTCTCTTGCAAAGGTGAAGGTGTGAAGATGGAGAGGAAGG